GCTATGAACGTGAGTAGACAAAAACCTCTCTGAGTCTCTGCTTTCAGTTCTTTTTGTGGTCTGATTGTTACTTTTTTATTTTTCAGTTTGAGTTGACATTCATTATATTAGTTTCCGGTGTACAGCATAGTAGTTAGACATTTGTGTAATTCACGAAGTGATCCTTCCAATTAGTCTAGTAGTTATTACATTATTATTGACTCTAGTCCCTGTGCTGAACTGCTGCTTTCAGTTCTTGTGGGGATACAGCTACAAGTGGAACTGCTGGATCATATGGTGATTCTGTTATCCTACTATTTCCAGGATGTATAAATCTTAAATGTTAAATGTTTTTTCCAACTTGATATAGGAAATAATTTTCATTTTTTTGGAAGCTGTTAAATATTTTTAAAAAGCTTTTCCAAAGTATTGTGTATTTCTCTCGCTGTTAATTTGTATGCAGTGTCTGTGTCCCAGGCCCACAAGTCTCTGTGCTGATGGCCTTTTTCTTGATTTATAGAAGCACTTCAGAAGTTAGAAAATTAGTTCTTTGTCATGTGTTGCAAATATTTTTCCCAATTTATTTCTATTTTGATTTTTTTGTTACTTTGTTTTTTATTTCTGTATGGTTAATTTTATCCATCTTCTGTGGTTTCTGAGTTTTGCATCTTGCATAGAAAGGGCCCGGGGGCGGGGGTGGGGGGGGCGGTTGGACCGGAGGATTCCTGGAAGTCTGCAAGAGATGTGGTCTGTGGTCGGAGCCTCGGGCCCCTCCCCACCCCCTCCCCCTCTTTCCCCCGCTGTTCCCCAGAGGACTAAGAAGTCTTCTTGAAGCACTGACCCCTGCAGAGGCTTTGAACTTGGCAGACCCCAGGCAGGGACTTGGGTGCTGGGAGAGGGGGAACTCGAATACTGAAAACAGGGTTTCTGTGAAAGTCTGCAAACCAGAGATGAGCAGAAATTCTATATGAACTATAGGAACATTCTTTCTACACTTTGAGAGTAGGAAAGTTCTGATTTTATGAACTAACTTTTTATTTATCTAAGTAATAGACTGTCTTCCCAGAGCAGCAGCAGCCTTCCTACCACCCCCGTCCCTCCTCTCTTTCGAAGCAGGAGAGCTGCTAGAACCTTCTCTGGAGAAAACCCACAGCCCCAGAGAACAGACCGCCAGATACTGACAGTTGGCTGAGCATTTTATTTTTGATGTTTATTTCCATCTCAGAAGTAGAGATCCAACTTGATTTTCTACTACCATCTTTTCCCTGTTAATGGAAATGCCTTTATCATACACTAAATCCCCATGCAGATTAATTCAACAAATATTTCCTGGGCACCTATTGTATGCCTGCAACTATTCCAGGCACTTGTAGTCGAAACAGTTAAGGAAGAGTAAACACAATGCATAATTTATCATAATTATTATGATACATGAGTAAACATAATACATATTGTGGTGTCTAGAAAGTGTCGTGTGTTAGGGACCAAAGCTGAAGTAGTGCAGGCGAAGGGTGGTGGGTGGGATGGTCAGGGGTGCTTCATGGAGGTGGCAACATGTGAGCAGGCAAGGGGCTGGCCATGTGTGTGTGGGAGGGGGGGTTCAGCAAAACCCATGCAAAAGCCCTGGGGTTGGAATGCATTTGAGAAACTGTCAGGGGGCTCAGGTGGCTGGAGCGGGTGGGGCGGATATGTGAAGGGGTCCTAGAGAATATTAGATGAAGTCAGAGAGTAAAAAAGATTCAGATTATCTAGGGCCTTGAAAGCCACTTTAGGAATGTTGGACTCTGAGTGAAGAGGGGAACTTCTGGAGTGCTTTCAGCAGTGCTGTGCCGTGATCACACTGGAAAGTCCTAGTCTCGGAGAGCCTGCAGGGTGCGAGGGCGGGAGGGAAACCGGGCTGAGGATGGTGGCAGAGGTGGAAGGCAAGAAATGATCAAGTTCAGAAATGTCTTAATGGATTTGAGGTGGGGTGACATAGAAGAATCCAAAATAAGTACAGAATCGGGCCCAAGTCACTGGAACGATAGAGTTACCATCAACTGCCTTGGGAACACTGCGTTTGGTGGGATGGGAGGGGCTGGTAGAACCGGCTTTGGACGCGTTTTTCTGCGATGGTCGGCTGACCTCCAGGTGGGGAGACACCTGATGGGCAGTGGGTCCAGGAGAGGGGTGTGGTCCCTCTCTGCACAGAGATGACATGTCACAGCCCACCAGGAAGAGATCAAGGGTCGAGCAGAAACCAGCATTTTTGGGATGAGGAGAAGCCGAGGGACACTGTCGGGGAGGGGATGGGCCTGACAAGTCAGGCGCTGCCCAGACCAGTGAGAGGAGGCTGAGAACTGTTGGCTGGAGCCACGAGGAGAACATTCTCCAGTGCTCCCTCTCTTGGGTCCCACCAAACCGTTGTTAATAACTCAGGCTTTAGAAAATGTGCCAGTATGTGGTGCACTTTGTTCTACTCCATTACACTACTTTCCTGGCTGATCTTGAATGTTTATTTTTCCATATGAATTTTGGAATCAGATTATCTAGTTGTCTTATTAGGATCCTATTACGTCTAATTCATATCTCTGTAACACTTAGTACTTCTATCCGGGATGTCTTTCCAGAAGGAGAAAGCCACCAGTTAAGTAGTGGTTCTCAACTGTGGGAGCAGGGGGTGGTTTTCTCCAGGGGACATTTGGCAATGTAAGCAGGAAGTTTTGATTGTCACTACTGGGCTGGCACCTAGTGGGGAGAGGGTCAGGGATGCAGCTCACAACTTGCGATGCATATGCCAGCACGTCACTACTGGGCTGGCACCTAGTGGGGAGAGGCCAGGGATGCAGCTCACAACCTGCGATGCATATGCCAGCGCTTACCACAGAGACCTACTGGTCCACAGGGCTGACAGTGTCGCATTGAAGCTATGTGGCTTTAGATGCCTGCAGACTGGCTTGGTGCCAAGGGTTCTCCTCTGCCTTTCCTTGCTGAGTGTGGGCTGTTTCATGCGATCTGTCCTTCACAAATGCTCTAGAAGAGACTTAAAGAATAGATGATACATAGTGTTGTGGACGTTTTTCACTCTTTTCAGCTGCCCAGGCTCTGACCCCTTCTTGTACGTGGAAGATACCCTTGGGTGGTATCCAGTAATGGCACAGAAAGGAAACAAGTAGGACGCTTGCTTCCACAGCTCCCATCCAGCCAAAGTGCAGGCAGGACCTGGGCTCCCCTAGTCAGACACACCAGTGGAGACTGGTCAGTGCTTCAGAGTGGGGCATAGGGGCCTGTCTCCGTATCGGAGGAACAGACATTGCAGGAGCTACAGAGGTTCTCAGTGCAGGATTCGGTGGCAGCAGCAGGAGTCTCCTCATGAGGCCATTCTGAAGCTGGGTTGTGGGTGCTGCTGCTGGCTGGCCGGCACTAAGCCTTGTCTGCCTGATAATTCTGTGGGCTTTTAAATACCCTTTTGATAAATTCCCTTCTCCTTTCAACATTGTGTCTGTTTCTGTTGCTTCTGGCCAAGAATCCTGGTTGACAAATAGGGATTCATATTGTGAGAAGCACCAGAGGCCAGTGAGATTTTCAACACTGATTCATGAGACGTTTACTTCTACAGAAAAGTTAAGGCATGTGAAACGTTCAGTATCAGAGAAAATACGTTTCCTACCCAAAACACCAAATATAATAAGATGCCGTGATTGTGTCAAGACCGGGAAAAGCAAGTCCTACATTTTTATAAGCTTGCTTTGATACCAGTTTGTATGTGAGGGTTACAATCAGACCCATGGTATCAATGAATTGTGGAACTGGATTTTAGAAGGCGGCTTTAAGATGCTCATTTATTTTGACTTAATTTTGGTTCTGTAGGAGTAAAATGTTGTGGTGATGATTAATGACTTAGAATTGTTTGACAAAGTCCGTGGAATTCGTGTTAAAACCCAGTCAGAGGAAAGAAGCCCATTACCAGCACTTTCGGCAGTGGGTAGGGGTGGTAACAGGCTGAAAGAGAGGAAATAAGAAAGGCGAGGAGAGTGGCACAGCTAACATTCATTTCTCTTCTTCCTTGGAAAGCAAAATCAACTTGGATTCCTTGTCAAATAAAGAGGAACGTTCCCCACGCTTGTTCTCACTCTGCATGTAGTACGGCGTTGCCTCCACCCCTTGGGAACAGGACAGGCTCAGGTCCAATTTTCTTTGCATTCCTGGCCCGCTGCTGTGGTTGCATCTTCTCCACCTCCCCCAAGTCCCTGTTCTTGACTCCTGCACTTCAACAAAAAACGTGCCTTTCTTTTGTCTCCTGGATATTTTCCCATTTTTGTCCCAGCACTCCTGTCCCACCAGCGAGAAGGGCTAAAACACCAATAAAACAGAGCCAGCCCTTGGGATGCTCAGGCAAGGGGCTTCTCCAGAAACGTGGCTTATCCATTTGCCATCTGCTTTCTCAGATGTCTTCTGGAAATAAGAGGCCTCCAGTGTCCCATGTCAGGAAGAAAACTGACCATTCAGAAAGCTCGTGTATGCTGTCTGGCCTCAGTAAAGCAGGGCCACCTGGGGTCCTGTAAGTAGCCACAGTGAAGCATGAGCCACCAAATGGAGCTGGGCAAATTCCATCTCCCAGGGGAGCCTATGGAGGCTGCAGCGCAAGGGCCAAGAATCTGTGAAATAGCAGAGCGAGCAAGAAGATGTGGGCTGTGCTTTGTGGGACGAGTTCTGTCTTCAGAGATGGGGAGCAATGCACAGAACAATTCAGATTATACTGAGTGATGATATTCACATCAGGCTTATGGAAAAACATACATGTGTATGATACATTTCATTTGGTTTGAGCAACCCCTGCCTGCCCTACAGTCACTCCTTTCTTCCTTGGCAATGGGACCCCAGCTTTTACGTATCTGGTGGCAATATTCCCAGGCCCAGAGGATAAACCATGATTGGTCTTTTTCAGGGGCAGAGCTATAGAGATTTTATGCAGCCTGAAGCTTCTATAATTGGGGAGTGAAGTTTTTTCTAAGAAAGATTTTATTTTATAAATACAAAGGTAGGCACAACTGTGACTTTTTATTTAGAATGAAATAATGTCGGACAAATTATAAACTTTATAATGGTAACAATTCTACAAATGTCACAAAGTCCCAATGCATAATGTAACCTATGTGAATGCGTGCTCTATAATGCCTTTTCTCCCTACAGATTTTGGCTCTGTCCTTTTTGATCACCTCTTCTTAGGACAGTGATTTTATGCATTTTCTATAAAGAGAAGAGAAAGATAATTCAGTCTTTTCTCCAGCATGCTGTATAAAAAACTTCATTATTAAGACTTAAGAAAATTTCTGAACATCATAGCTAGCTATTAGTAATGTAAAATTTTAAAGCTGTTGTCAGATCTCTGAAAATTTCTGTCAAATTCATTACAGACCCAAACTATAGGACTGGGAAGGACTCCTCCCACACATCCCTTCTTGTTTCTCCTGTGTACCCACATATCTCAGGTGACATGGCCCCTGGACCTGCATTTGTGTCTCAGGCTACCTGAGCTACAGTTCTTGGAAGCTGTTCTTTCACCAGGATGGCCACAGTGACTCTGCTCTAAAGTGATGATAAGCAACCTCAGAGTCCCCTCAGCTGGACTCTGGAAGTGCCCATGGCCAACCCTGTGATGCCCAGTAGGTAGGAATGTACACACTTACTTTTACTGGTTGCAGTTAAAATCTCTTTACAAATTTTACAAAAAATGAATGGCCAAGGGAGCTGGGGCCTCTTCCAGAGCCTTAGAAGTGGCCGGGCAGTGAAAGGCCCTGAAGCTCAAGCTTCACTGGTGTCCTGATAAATCTGACCTTGGTCTTAGCCCATCAGGGCAGCCGCATTCCCCATCCTTCTGTGGCTGGGTTCTGCCTGTGATGTAAGGGCAGGTCTGGTGTACCTGGTGGGGAAGATGAGGAAACCTGCTGTCCTTTTCCTTCTCGGATGTTGCCAGCAAAGCCTAGGCTTGGCAGCCTTCTTGCAACATGGAGAGGAAAGCCAGCAGAAATTCAGTGAGGCCAGCTCCAAGCTGTAACACTGCTGAGTGGCTGAAGGAGCCAGTTTTCTGGGAGTCTGTGTCTGAGGCCATCAGGTGTCTTCCTTGTTTAAGCCACTCTTTGTCAGATATTCTGCTGGCAGAAGCAGAAGGCATATGTCTGGCACAGATGCTGTGGTGTAAAGAACCCCACTTCCAGCAAACCCCCAATGCGGCCTCTATTCTCAGCCATGCCACTTGACATGCACCTCAGGCCTCAGTGCTTAGCTCTCCAATGAGGGAATAAGGCTTAGTGGTCTTCGTGGGTTCACTGTGCATTTTCGCCAGAGCCCATTTTTAGCTAGATTCTTATTTCTATGAACATATTTCAAAAAAATTGAAAGAATCCATGTCTGAACTTTCCCAAAAATTCAAGGCAACAGGAAAAGTAGGTAGACTTTACTGAATACATCCCAGCCCGTCTCTTTCTATGCTGACTGGGTTCTTTCCTGGAGTCTGGGCATGGGCCTGCTGAAGAGCTGAGGACACACAAAGGATCCATCCTTGGTTTTCAAGGGGAGGGTGTCACTCCCTACCCGTCCACTGTGCACTCTCTGCCATCTGTGCTCACCCTCACGACAGTGAACGGAATGAGTGGCTCCGGCTTCCAAAGGAGTCAGCGGTTCTGGCATGGCTTCCCGGCTACTCATCTGGGTTGGGGGACGCCACCCTTCACCACGCGGCTTTCCTTCGTTTCCACCGGGAGCCTTCCCCGCCTCGTCAGCAGCTTTGTCAAGGCAGGGGAAGGCAAAGGGAGAAAATAACATCAGTCAGTAAACCAGAGCCTACTATCTCCTTGTATAAAGTCTTCACAGACAGTGAAGATTCACGGAAAACAGGGAATGGCCAGGCTGCTGGGCATTCACCGAGGTGAAGACTGAAGTTCCGCCAGCTCAGTCAGTCTGCTCGGTGGCCAGCTCAAATGGCCGAGGCTTGGGAGAACTCAGAGGCTTTGTAAAGGGATTGGGACATACTACAAACAGGCTGAGGTGTGGTCAGGACAGGAAAGAAATCTTCCAGAATCCAGCTTCAATGGTCTGAGGTGGAGAACCATCTTGTTTTTATTGTTTGCTATGAAACTGTGTGAATGGATGTCCACATGGAAGCACACTCCACAAAGGAACGTCAGTTTTCAGTGGGCGCTCGCTTCGAGAGTTGTTGGCCACCACCACACTGAGCCCTTTTCTTCACGTCCATAGAGACTGATCACAGCTTCTGTGGCAAAAGTCAACATAGGTGAGGTGTCCTGAACTCCAAGTGAAGCATATGAAAGTAATGATGATGGCAGTTGGGGTGAAAGTATTTTAACAGTATACCTTTCACACGGTAACATTTCTCAAAAGGCAGGCTCGGGTCAAAAGTTTTTGGAATTTTTCAGATCTTTGGGTGGATGCATATACTGAAACAAATAATTCTCCTAAAAGCTCAACCTCCAATCTAACAAAACTTTACTCATACTTCAAACAGAAGCCAAGACAGGGAGATTCAGAGATTACTAATACATACATCAAATGCATAAAAGAAAAGCTGACTCACTTGACAGAATATACACAAAAGAGCATACAATCAATACAAGAATAAATCTAAAAAGAAAAAATATCTTCAACTCATGTGAAACAAATATTAACCTTGGAGATACCAATTCCTTATTAGAAATTTCCAGTTCCCATTTCACTTAACAAGACAACTGATATGTAATCTCTTCCGTTTCTAGAACAAGTTGTGTACCCTCCCACCAGCCATCTTTGAGGCAATATGAACCCTTTTGGTAGCAGTCAGTGTTTAGTAAACATAAAGCAAAGAGAGTTAGCACTAGAACTGTTTTCATTTTATTGCTAAGCACGGTTGCTCTCCACGGCAGGGCCAGCACACTTGCCTGCCATTCACTAGTGGTCGCTGTCACAACTACTTGCTACTGGGCTTCAGTGGGCTCTCCTTCCCCTTGGCCTGCCCAGGGGGTGCCCCAGGGGAACGCCTGTTGCTGAAGAATTTCTTAGGGAAACAAGAGAGTGTGGCTTTATCTCAAATCTCTGTGGATTAAAAGAAACACCAGGAGGCTACAGCCCTCTCTGGTGTAACACATTTCTCTTGAAACATACTTCAATAAATCTTACTTTTCCTAAACTTTGCTGATCTCTAATTCTTTACTGCGTTAGCAGAAAGGACCAAGGCCCCCAGCACCACCGGGACAATGACGGACTTAGATCGCCTCCAATGGTAACTTAGGAAAAAAGCCTCAGGTCTACTGACCAGAAACAGAGTTTTGGTCAAACTAAAGATGACATCTTGCAGCTCCACACCCATGAAGATGGAATGACCCTACCAGCATCCCCTTGAAACCAGACTGAACGACACCATGACTGACATCAGGACCTGATGCAATTATCAACTGCCTCCTATCCTAGCTCCAACCAATCAGTAGAGTCCACGACCCCAGCTCTCTCAGCTACTAATGAGTTTTCCTCTATAATAACCTATCTCCTAGAGGCCTTCGGGGAGCCAGATCTTTGAGTGCTTAGCTCAGCTGTGTCTCCTGGCTTGGTACCATTTCCTTAAAAAAAAACCTCTACTTTGTCTGCTGCAAAAATAAAAATAAAAAATAAAACAAAAGAAACACCAAAAACGACCTGACTTCTAAAAAAGAGATGTGTGGAAAAGGATTAAGATAACTTTCTAAACTGATCAGTGGTTCATATCAAGTTCTTAATCAAAAGACTTTGAAACACTCAAATAGTTGTGCACCTTGGTTTGATAAGGGAAAAACAGGAAACAAAAATCTGTCCTCCCATCCAAGCCTTTTCTTTAGTGATTCTCTAACTGACATCGAGGTTGAGTAGGTACACAGAGTGCTAAAGGCATAATCCAAGTCATTAGTGAATAAATCTGACTGAGTTTGGGCTAAAGAACCTGTCTTCTCATTTTCTAAACTATGTGCTGCCAGATCTTGCCAAGATATTTATGGCTCATTGTTACAGCTCACAGAGGCTACTCATAACACAAAGTGATCCCATCATTTCATCAAGTGGCTCCAGAGAGCCTGGGCCCTGCATGGCAGCTACACATTCAAAGAGTCTGTGCTAGACTTTTGCGTGCAGTTCTGTAAGGAGCTCTCTGGCCAGTTTTCTTGATGTTGGGGCTTCCACGCAAAGACGATCCCATCTGTACAAGGTCTGGTCGAGAAAGCCAATAATCTCATGGGTTACCTCATCAGTTTGAGCCATCTGCAATGAGGACAGAGAGAAGCCAAATTAAAACACTTTCCAGACAGATTCGTCTCTTTGTCCAGTGGACCAATTGTAACCATCCTGCCTCAAAAAAGCAGCCGCATTCCTGTCAGCTCCAAAGGGCTCTTGTTTTGTTTTCAAGGTGACTAGCAAAGCAAGTCTGTTCTCAGAGGTTGGCCATCCACTGAGCAGAGTCATTTCCTGATGATCACGCTGTCCTGAAAGAATGGCTACAAGCAAGCACCACAGTTCCTGGAATGCCAGTCACACGCTTTGGGGAGAAAAAGCAAATAAACATGCTGGGGCTTGACTTTCTGTAAAAGGCTTACACTAATATGAGAACTGGAAAATGCTGAAAGGAAAATGCCACCTGTTTTCACATGAACAGCTTTACAAATGGCATTCTTGGGTCAGCAACCAGGCCACTTGTTTTTTAAAGGCATAAGGTTTTAACACCTGATTCTCAAGGGAAGCAGGAAATGCAGGAATTGTTAGTCCCACTAAATACAGCCTCAAGGCATTGAGTTGTTAGTGCCCATAAGTAATTTCCTAAGAATTTAAGTTCAGCAAAAAGGGAAGGGCAAGAATCTCACAATTTAGCTGCATGAAGAATTTATTGTGATTTTTTTAGACATATGCCACATTAAGAAGCCATTGGTTTTTTAGAGTAATCTACATATTTGTTTTATGGGTATTAGTTTATATTGAACCCTCCATCAAATATTTAAGTAGCCACAGCAGCCCATAGATAGCTTCCTCTCTGTCTCCACATCAGGCTCTTCTGGTAGGGTGACCAGCCATCCTAGTTCCCCTGGAATTACCCTAAGCCCAGGACCCTTCCTGGCACCCATCTCTTTCAGTCAAGGCAGACAGTCTGGCCTCATGTGAGCTCGGTGAGCGCAGCATGGGAGGGGTGGGGGCATACTTCCAGCGTTAGACTCAGCCATCTACTGGGGCTCTGCTGGAGGGGGAAGGGGGCAGGCTGCCAGCTCAGGTGGGGTTCACTGTGGCTCTTGGTGGCTGTATTGTCATCACTTGGTTTTTACTCAGAAACCACAGATGCTATAGATGAGTTTCGTCACATGCAGTCTCTGTCCTTTGTGGATGAAATAACATGAGCCTCCCTGGTACACCTTAATAACAAAACAATCTACTACTTAGTAGTAGATTAGGTGAAGACTGCCTCTTGCACCATTGCCCAGTGATCCCAGGGGCTCCCCCAAGCCAGAAGCAGGGCAACATAGCCATTACAGATGACTGTGGAGGTCACCTGATCTAATTACACATCATCTTTGCATCATCTTTGCAAACCAACTCAACTCCCACACTGTACCATTCAAGGTCTCCAGTCACATACAGAAACCTAACTGCAGCCGAGGTTGGAAACTGCATCCTTGCAGGGCTTGGTCGAGGCGTGTCAGTAGACGGGTTAAGTTCATTTTGAGTTCAGCAACTACAGGACTGAACTCCATATTTCAGATTCTAGCTAACTTTTAGCTGTTATTGCTATGGTCCAGCCACCAAAGACGGAAGGGGAAGGAGAGAGAAACATGAACTCAGGCCAGGAGGCAGGAGAGGATAAACCTCAAGGGCAGGAGGAATCCAGACACCAACCAGGCTGTTCTTGCCTCATCCTCATAAGAGGTGCAGAGAAGAGAGTAAGGATGGTAGACAAAGAGAAGAGAGTGGGGTAAAAAAGCAGAAGGACAAGAGATAGGAAGGCACGGGGAATCTGAGGAATGAGTTAGGCGGAAACTCTCAGAAGCCAAAGGCCAGCGGGAGTGGATCCTGGGGCCTGTGTGAGGAGCCCCAGGAAGCAGTGGGCTGGCAGAGGCTGGCCAGGGGTGGGGGAGGGACAGCAGGAGGAGCTAGAGGAATAAGACGCCTGTAATGAAATGGAGCTACTCAGCAAGATGGGGTCCCCACTCAGAGAGGGCATGGAAGGCAGTGAAGAGACAGGGCTCAGACACACAGCCCCTGCTGTTAGGTCCCCCAGCCGGGAGCATTCACAGCTCTCCAAAGCTGATGCTGAGACAAAAGGGACAAGACCAGGACCCAGGCATGGGGGCTGGCTCTGCTTGGGCCTGAGTTCACATCAGAGCTGGGCCTGGGCCTAGGTCCCAGAGTGGTGAAGCCAGAGCCGCTGGCACAGAAAGGTTGCCCACCAAAGCCAATTATGTCTACAGTCTGGCCGCCACCTGCTCCCAGGCCAAGCAGACCTGACTCAGGGCTCCTTCCAGGGTGATTGCAGAGAGAGGAACTAACGAGAAGGGAGAAGACGAGGAGAAGCCCAGGAGAGGCTGGCACTGTGCAGAGGACTCCTCCATCTGTCCTGTTTGTAGCTGCACTAGCCAAGCTGCCTTTGGCCTGTCAGGCGACCACTGCAGAAAAGCTTTTGAGTTAGGAAGGCTGGTATGTTAGTAAAAACGGTTTCAGAACATCTGTAAAGATAGTGTCCAGAAAGCTCTCTGAGCTACGATGGGCTCAAGATGCCCAGATGGTTAGCACCCACCTGCTAAGAAGCTAGTGCATGAAGAGAAACACTGGCATTTTATCCTTTAATGAATTTTTGCAGCTGAGTTACTTATAAAATTTAATGAAGATGCACTGGGGTTTTCCGTGTTCCCTCAGCATCAGGTATTAATGTATGGCTGAGGTTGAACTGTTTTCTGGAAATGGGCTGCCTGGTACAGGCAGCAAACTTGAACTCTGTGACATGATCTAGCTTCTTCATCACAGCAGCTTCTCTGTGAGTGAGTACTGAGTGTGGTCCATTTTGAATGTGGACTGTTTGCCTGGAACAGATGGAAATGAGGCAGAGATGACTGAAGCAGAGATTTGGGTGTCTCTGAGGAGCTTTATCTGGGTCACGTACTCTTACACGCCACGGGCAGCGCTGGGCTGTGATCTCCCTGGCCTGTGTTCTCACTCCCAGGGTGACAGGACGGGAGAGGAGCAGAACAGGTGCTCCCCAGGGAGAGGGAGCGGGCAGGCTCCCACAGGTGTCCAGAGCATGGGCAGGAGGTCAGTGGTCACGTGACAAAAATGCTGCCAACACTTTCATGATTCAAAAATGCCTGCTGTTGACTTTTTAAAACAACTTATTTTTGAAAGTTTTAGATTTATAGTTTTACTGAAAAGATAATACAGAAATCACACATCCCCCACATCCAGTTTTCTCATTATTAACATCTTACATTAGTGTGGTATATTTGTCAGACTTAATGAACCAATAGTGATATATTTTTATTAACTAAAAAGTCCAAACTTATTCAGATTTCCTCTGTTTTTCTCTAATGTCCTTCTGTTCCAGGATCCCACCTAAGATATCACATTACATTTAGTTGTCCTGTCTCCTTAGGCTCCTCTTGGCTATAACAGTTTCTCAGACTTTCCTTGTTTTTGATGACCTGGACAGTTTTGGGTAGTACTGGTCAGATATTTTGTCAAATGTCCATCAATTGGGGTTTGTTCGTATTTTTCCTCATTATTAGACTGGGGTTATAGGTTTTGGGGAAGAAGACTACAGAGGTAAAGTACCACTTTCATCACAATACATCAAGTGTACATGCTGTCAACACGATTTATCCCTGCTGATGTTGACCTTGATCACCAGGGAGTGGTTGAAGGGTGACTATTACAACTTATACTTCGACAGAGATAAAACTGTGTGGTACAAAGACATATGGACGTTTTTTAGCTTTCATCAATGGAGTGCTCCTACCCCAAATGGCTTTCGAAGGTGTGCAATTTGTAAATGCACACACAACAGATCATTGTGTACAATTCAGTAGCTTGAAGTACATTCACAATCTTGTACAACCACAGCCACTATCCATCGCCAGAACTTTTTCATTATCCCAAACAGGAACTCTGTACCCATTAAATACTAACTCTCCATCCTTCCCTCCCCTCAGCCCCTGGTAACCTCTCTTCTACTTTCTGTCTCTATGAACTTATCTATTCTAGGTGGCTTATATAAGTGAAATCATACAATATTTATCCTTTTGTGACTGGTTTATTTCACTTAGCATAATGCCCTGAAGGTATATCCATGTTGTAGCATAAGTCAAAGCTTCATTCATTCATTCTGAATATTCCATTGTATGTACGGGCCACATTTTGTTCATCCATCACTTGCGGATGGACATTTGGGATGTGTCCACCTTTTGGTTATGTTTTGTTTATAACAGCCATCTTCCTGGGTGTGGAGTGATACCTCATTGTGGTTTTGATTTGCGTTTCCCTAATAGCTAGTGATGTTGAACATTTTTTTTTTTTGTGCTTATTGGCCATGTGTACATCTTTTTTGGAGAAATGTCTGTTCAAATCCATTGCCCATTTTTGAATTGGGTTATTTTTCTGTTGTTGAGTTGTAAGAATACCTCACATAGTCTAGGTATTTTTACCACATATGTGATTTCCAAATATTTTCCTCCCATTCTGTGATTTGTTTTTCCCCTCTTTTGGGAGTATTCTTTGATGCACACAAGTTTTTAGTTTTGATGCAGTTCAGTTCATCTATTTTTTCTTTTGATGCTTGTGCCTCTACTGTTATTATCCAAGAAATCACTGGCTAATCCAATGCCATGAAATGTTGCTCACTTTTGACCTGAACCATTCTTTAGTCCCTATGTCAGCTAGACTTCAAGAAGGACTCTTTGTATTTAATGAAGAAAATTCTTTGAACTACTGCAGTGAGCACATTGTCACTGAAGTCTTATTTCTCTTCATGCATTGAAGGGGGAGACAGGAGACCTAGCTTTTACTACAGGCTCGGGCAGTAAGCCATGTGACCCGGGAGAAGTCACCTCATTTCTCTGAGCCTCCATTTTCTCTTCTGTGACATGAAGCTGTTGTGCTGGGCAGGTTCTGGGGTCTGTCCCAGCTGTCCACCTCACTGCCTACCCATCCATGATTGGACAGTAACCTGGTACACACACACGCACACTCTTCAAAAGCCTGACCCTTGGGTAGAATGTGAATGAGAATTAGGATGCTAGAAAAGGGGAGACTTACGAGGGCGATGACTTCCCGGGCAACTGCGTGGCCTCCAGGAGCCCACAGCAGGAAGTTCAGGAGAAGGCACCTGATCAACTGTCGACAGGCAGGCGGCCTGGGGTCACCGCCTTGGCTCTCTCCTGCTGCTGTCTGTAGCTCCCTGGCCGAGAGGGTTGGCCTTCTGAGCAGCTTCATGAGGCGGCCAAGCACTGACTTCACCTCTACCTGGGAAGTATGATTTCAAAGGTGAGAGATTAGAGGAGAGTCAGGACAAGTATGGTTCTAGGATTTATCTGGAGCTCTGAAGCAACTCCCTGAAAGAGAAGAGAACCGGTGCCTGAGGGAGGGCAGACAGAGGCGGCCCATGTCTCAGTTTACACATTGCTCCACACAAATTCAAATGGGCGGAATGGAATTTTCTTGACTTTCTTTCGCCTCGCTCACTAAGCAGCTAGGGCACCATGCCAGGAATTGACCTTTTTTGTATGAAAGGAAACAGAGAAAAGTCTTAAGCAAAATGTAGTCAGATTTTTATTTTGTGAGAAAAAGAACAAAAAGGCTTCTTGAAGGCTAGCTCACTATCACAGCCACAGATCAGTTAAAGCCCCATGCAAGCAGACTGCCACTGTGCCAGTGTTCGGGTAAGAATGAGGTTTGCCTTTTGCCTTTTGCTATAGTTGGGAGTGGGGTGGGAAGGAGGAGGACGAACACACACACAGACACAGACACGGATGGACGGACGTACACACACACACACACACACACACACACACACACACACAGTTTTAGACACTGGGATAGTCTGTTCATACAAGTTTAAAGCTCAAGCAGTAGTCATGAGTCTGTAGAATCCACATAATAATTGATTGTTATAGGTATGTGGGTTGTTTTTACATAAAAAATATTTATTTCATGCTGAGATTTCTGCTTGCTGTAAGAATGGTACATCAAGTTGTAACTTGGAAAACAAAGCAAAAAACTGAAAGCCATAGATCCAAAATGCCACATGGAACTCATGAACAGCTATGTTCCATCATTTTTTAAAGAATACTTAGGCCTATTCTAAGAATTCCCATGACCAATTTTATGGATTTTGTGTGGGTCTTTTTTTCTGGACGTTGAGGCCTCATTCAATGAAGTCTGTCATAAACTCCAGTACGCTAGGAGTGCTGTGTGAGCTATTCTGACAATACAGGACCGTGAGAAACTGCACCGCGGGGCTCTTCCATGGAGAATGGCAGTGTTCCGACAGGAGAGGGCCACTCTTACCATCTCTCTTCTCTCAGCTGGGCCCAGCCTGCCCTCGGCGGATGGCCATCTACAGGAGCCCAAGACCGTCTTGCGATCTAAACGGGTCTACAAAAATGTCAGGGCTTAAGAAGTTATGCCTTCATATCCATTTTCTTTTTGTCCAGTATTCCCTAAGACTTGATCATCTTCCTTTCTATTTCATCCCAGACTGTTTTTTCCCTTCAAATGCCTCCCTGATGCCAATAGCTTTAAATGCTTTCTAATTTTTTCAGGAGAAAGAAATAAGCATTCTTTTCTAAGTATTACTTTTTATCCTGCATCATGAAAATTTATATATGCTCACTGTAGAAAATGTAAGCAAAAAGGTAAAAAGAAAAAAATTAAAATGACCTATAACTCCACCATCTAGAGACTCATTGTTAAAAACAAGGTTTATAGCCTTCTCATCTTTTTTCTATGCCTTGTGAACACAGAAATCACTACACACAATATTTTCTCTCTTAAAGTTTTCTCTTCACAATGTACTTTAAGCAATTTACCATATCTATAGCACATACTCTTTAAGAACATGATTTTTCATGGTAGAATGCTATTCCAGAGCTAGCATGTACCATGCTTTATTTAGTCAGAATGCTTACTATTGAAAGTTTAGGCCATTTCCAATTTTTGCAATCATGAACAATGCTGTGATATTCTTGTACATATATCTTCATATGGATGTTTAATTGCTTCCTTAGAATAATTGCCAGGAATGGAATGATAGGGTTAAAGTGTATAAACTCTTGCCTAATTCTTAAGAGTATACAAATATAGATGTTTTTTGTTTTTATCACGATCCAATTCAAAGTTAGCGAAGGAAGATGAACACTAGCGGGCAGGAGCACGGTCTGCAGAGAGGGGCAGGCCTTTGTGCAGCAGTGCACATTCCGGGCACGGATAGTTACTCCTTGCTCCCCTGATCGTGAACCTCAAGGACGGCCAGCAGAGGCAACAATACCAGCCATGGTATCCTACTGTGTATAACATAGTACCTGATTTAATTGCTCCTTTTAAGGCAAAGGCACAGATATTGTTGAGCTTGATCAAAGCTCACAGTCATGCTTTCAAACGACAGTTTTTTAAGTCATCCAATAGACCAATGGTATTAAAGCTCACAAACCTAGGAGAGTAGGAGGTATGTACTACTAGTTAAACTAGGGAAACTGGGCCCCACCTGCTCCGTGGCACAGCATACACGCCAATGCCTCAGGTGGGGCACACCAGGGAGGAAGAGATTTTGGGATCAAAACGTGAAGCAGGACTTCAATCACAAGGTGAAATAAATGGCTACCTCTGACAGAACAGCTAGGAAGGAAATGGACATAATGGCACTAACCTACTCTGAGTGTGCTAGTCCATTTTTATCCAGGACGCCAAAGCATCCTCCGAGTAAGAACTCTGCATAGGTTTTATTTTAAAAAGGAGCAACATAACTAGTGGAAAGATGTGCCAATGCAGAACTTTCTAGAAATACATCTTATCGGATGATCTAGTTCTCTGTACTTCAAAAGTGAATCTGTTAATTTCTATGATCGATATGGAATTTAACACATAACTTACCAACTTAGCTTATACAAATATAAAGTATATATAAGAGGGCTTTAGGAATCAATAGAGCTTCACACATTTTAATTACTATCCAAATTAAGATCATGAAAACATATATTAGGATTTTCCTTCATTAGTTTAATGTGATATTTTTAAGAGGGAAGAAATAGTAAGCTTTCTTTTTAATCAGATAGCGATCCTCAGATACATATGTAGATTTATGTTAGTTCTAAATAGTGTTCTATTTTTTATCCAAAATAAATTATTGCCAAACTTTAACTTTTTAAAATCCCAAACTCTTGACCCTGTCATGCAAGCCTTTAAACAAGTATAATATACAGACATATCTGTACTGGTCTCTGGTTTTTTCAAACAACAGAAAACATCAAGCAAATAGGAGTGCTGCTCTTTACATAAAGGAACCTGCTCCCTTTAATGATTAAAATCAGCAAAAAGCACTGGCAGCTGAAGTTTTAAAAACCAACAAATAAATGTTTGCAAGGGAGGTGCCAGTGCCTTTAATCAGAGCATTGCTTCCTGTAATTATTATATTCCACATAAAATAACAACTGTCTTTGCCACAGATAGTTAGCCAGGCCTGTATTTAGCTGCTCTATTATTTAGAAAATGACCAAGTCCTTTTTCAGAAGCAAAGTGGTTAATATCATGTGATTACTTTAGTAAGAATTCTAAACAAAGCCGGTAATGTGAGGATCTGTTGAACAATCCAAGAGAGCGGTAAGTGAAGACGGAAGCAGATATAGCCAGGTCGTTGATCGGAAAGAGGACAGGGCTCCTCAGAAGAGTGGTCAGACTATGAACAGCATCCCCTGGAGGGTGCAGCCCCGGGTCAGGCACGTCTGTAGATGAGGGCAGCCAAGGCAGCTGAGCAAGAACAGATAGAATGACCTGGGAGACTGGAGAGCTGCACCTCATCTCCTCGGTGCTTCCCAGGAGAGCAGAGTGGCAATGCCTGGTTTCCAGTCAGTTCTGTGAAGACAGGAAACTGTCTCCAACCACCAGCCCCCACTCAGTCACTCATCCAGGTGACATGTGCACGCTACCGTAATGAAACTGGAGCGCTCAGTGCTTAGATACCTGGGGGTCAGTGGAAGCCAAACCCACTATAGGGTCCCTTCCTATAGGACCCTTTTCAGCTCCAGGAAGACCGAACCTGAACGCCACACACAGTGGGTACTGCCACCCACCATGGTCTGTGCTCTCTTCTGACTCCCGTCACGTGGGCTGTAGCTGAATGCCAAGAGCCACAACAAGGCATCAGGGGGTTCGCCTTCTGACATCAGTAACTGCTCAGCTGCAATATCAGCCCATCCTCCAAAGTGAACGAACAAAAACCAGCTCTCAAAGGGGCCTCCATAGGACCTGGAACAGAACCAAAACACATGGCAGCCAGGCAACTTGATTTCTTTTTCCTTTTGGTTCTTAAAGCAACTGTAATGTTTGCGAACAGTTGGTTTAAATTGTTCTTATCCACTGAAGTACAACTTGCAAGGAATACAAGTTAGACGCAGAAAAACAGCTCACAATGCCACTCTGAACCCTTCAAAGGCATGCCTCTCAAAACCTCACGTGCCCTGGGAACTTCAGACATTTAAATCTTTATATCCAGGGAACCTGAGTGAGTACAGATCTTTGAAAGTAAAATTTTGGCCCATGACCAGCAGCAGTGATGTGAGATGAGAATCTGCAGGTGTGCCTCTCTGCCTTCTGCAGTGGCCTGAATAGCTGGGCTGCTGGGGAGAGTGGGACCTCCCTGCCACAAGGCAGCCACTGAGGTAGCTGCAGAGCAAGAAACGAGGGGAACCCCTGGGGTCCAGATGCAGACCAGGGAAGGGGCACAGGCAGAAATGTGCTGTTTCTTTTCTGATGACACAAGGTTCTGGTCAATATTTTGGCAATTATGAATTTTTAGAGAGCTACATATTGTGTTCTTTTCTGTCATCACAAATACATAAAGGCTGAAAAGTTAGAGCCTTTGTGAAGCTATCCTTTTGTCACATTAGGAACTGGGAGTTGGAATAGCTGTTTAAAGGGTAGAATGTGCTCAAGGTAAGAACCTGTTCATTTTGCACAGTGACAGTATCAGCATTTTAACATCCTCTGGAAAAAATGGAGCAAGACTAGCCTGAGATCACATTAGCTCTGAACTTTCCTTAAGAACTAGGGAAGTCCCTGGAACAGAAGAGCTCTGGGCTCCTCTGCAGTGCTCTGTCTTTGCTGGATTTGGGTCTGTACTCCTCTGCTTGGCTCATGGAATCTCCATGCTCTAAGGACTGTCCTCACCTCCCCTGGTTACTGCGTTTCTCCTGTCCAAGTTCTCCCCAGAAAGGATGAAATGTTCTGAAGTCTAGCTTGTAAG